TTGTTTTCCCCTGAGGTAATGCAGGGCTGGTAGCTATCATCTTCTTAAGTTGCAAGTTCTTCAACCTTGTTTTCAGCCTCCGGGCCATCCCGCGCCAGAGAGGCAGGGAGAGGCAGGGAGAGGCGCTTGGCTGCGCTGGGGGGCGGGAGCCCCCGGCCGCGTGGCCCCCAGCATCTCTAGTATTACAGTAGAATTTTCTGATGACCTTGTTTGAGAACCAGTATGGTTTTGTAAACAGCAAGTCAGAATCAGTGACTTATAAAACCAGTTCATGGTCCATAACTAGTATTTCAAAATTGAAATATTGAGTGGAATGGAGTAAACTAGAAAGTATCAGAGTACATTGCATGTCATAGAGTAAATGTTGTTTTGTGAAATTTTTGTTTCAGTTTTTACACACACACACACAAGAGGTTACAGTGAGACGTATTTGTGTGTGTGTGTGTGTGGATTATGTAGTAGTCAAGTACATTTATTTTTATTTTTGGAGATTTTTTTTTTGGCTATAGGATGCTTTTGTTTCAGTTTTTGAGAGAGAAAGACATAGAGACAGAAAGCGAGAAATCACCCCCCAGGGGGGATAGTCACGCCGCAGTCCCTTCTCCTCCATTCTCCTCTTGGGATCTTAGGCATGTGCGCACATGTGCCCGGTGTGAGTTTAAGCCACCGGATCTGGGACTCGAACCATGGTGGACTGCGTGGGAGTCCAGCAGCATAGCCATTACATCAACTATTGGTCCCTCAAGTACGTTTTTCTTTTTTTTTTTTTTTTGGAGAGGTTTTTCGCTATAGGGCACGTGCGCTCACCAGAGAGAGAGAGAAAGACATAGAGACAGAAAGCGAGAAATCACCCCCCAGGGGGGATAGTCACGCCGCAGTCCCTTCTCCTCCATTCTCCTCTTGGGATCTTGGGCACGCACGCACATGCGCCCGGCGTGAGTTTTAAGGCACTGGGTCCGGGACGTGAACCGCGGTTGACTACATGGGAGTCCAGCGACATAACCATTACGCTAACTGCTGGTTCCCTCAAGTGCGTTTTTGAAAAACACTGCTTTAAACCATCCTTCTTAGACTCCATTTGTCCAAGCTAAGTCAAAACTGTGGGCTCCAGTCAGTTCTGTGCAGCTATTCTGTGTTGTGAGGAATTGGACATTCGGAGAAAATTATTGGGACGTCAGGAAAGTCATGACACATTTTTGCATAGAAAAACATAGAAAAATATCTTACGACTTTCCCAACTACCTAATAGTTGAATCACCATTTTTTTTTTTTGAGAATACTTGTTTACATCCACGTTTGGTCAGGCAACTCGGCTCAGGGTGTTATCCTCTTTGGCAGGTTTTTGCTATAGGGCATGAATGCTTGCCAGAGAGAGACAGAGAGGAAAAATGAGAAATTCCCCCTCACACACACACACCTGGTGCAGGGGATGGCCACACCACAATCCCTTGTCCTCCATTCTCTTCTCAGGATTTTGGGCATGCAGGCACACACTCCTGGCTTGTTTTTCAAACTGTCAGGTCCAGGACTCAAATCTGAGAGTCAGCTATGTGGGATCCAGCACCTTCACCACAACACCGTCTTCTGGCCCCCAATCTTTATTTTAAAAAGAAGAGAATTTATTGCAGGAACATGGTACCAAACTGTTGGAAAGAGCTAGAGGACTAAGCAGATTGCATAATGGTTACATCACTGGACTCCCCTGTAGTTGACTATGGTTTAAGTTCCAGACTTGGCAGCTTTAAACTCGTGCTGGACATGTGTGCATGCGTGCCCAAAATCCTGAGAGGAGAAGGGACTGTGGCCTGACTATAACCCCTAAGGAGTGATTTCTCTCTCTCTCTCTCTGGTGAGCACATATGTCCTATACCAAAAATCTCTCTAGAAAAAAGAGAGGAGGGGGAACCAGCAGTTAGCGTAATGGCTATGTCGCTGGACTCCCACGTAGTCGACCGCGGTTCACGTCCCGGACCCGGTGGCTTAAAACTCACGCCGGGCGCGTGTGTGTGCGTGCCCAAGATCCAGAGAGGAGAATGGTGGAGAAGGGATTGCGGCGTGACCATCCCTCCTGGGGGGTGATTTCTCGCTTTCCGTCTCTATGTCTGTCTCTGTCTGTCTGGCGAGCGCACGCGCCCTACAGCGAAAATCTCTCCCAAAAAAAAAAAAGAGAGGAGGTGGTTTTGCCTTGAGGACAGTAACTATATAGAACGCTGCTGTTGCTAAGGCTGGAGGAATAAAGAAAGTGCTGTTCCCTGGAGCCCTTTTGTGCAGCATTGCTGTGGCCAGTGCCACTGTGGGCTAATCACACTGCATCTGGGCTGGGCCCAGGAACTAGCATCACAGATACTCTGCTGCCCAGTGCTGGCTCTGCTGGAGCACGTTACCGCCCATCACTGCCTCTGCAGAGTCAGAAGCAGACGGCCTTATCCCAGTATTGTGCCCCCTGTCAGATAAAACCATGGCTTAACTGTCAAGGGAAGTTGGAACAAAGTGTTTTATTTATTCATTTGTTTTAATGAGTTTATTTACTTTTTCCATGAGAGATACAGAGAAAGAGAGAGAGGGAACGAGGGAGAGAGGGAGGTAGGGAGGTAGGGAAGGAGGGAGGTAGAGAGAGAGAACAAAAGAACGAACAGATACTCCCAAGAGGGTCCTCACATCTTGATCCACTCCCAGTCTAAGTTGGCCCAGATTATGGATACACATGTGTGTCTGATGTGCTCAGGGTAGTTGTAGGATACAAACCTAGGACTTTCTCATGTGAGTACAGTTGTGTTACTGCTGCACCACTGCCTGGCCCCTGAAACATTTTTTTTTTCTTCTTTTTTTGGAAGAGGATTTTGCTATAGGGCGCATGTGCTCACCAGAAAGACAGAGACAGAGAGAGAGAGAAAGCGAGAAATCATCCCCCACGGGGGATGGCCATGCTGCAGTCCCTTCTCCTCCATTCACCTCTCAGGATCTTGGGCACACATGGACATGCGCCCAGTGTGAGTTTAAGCCACTGGGTCCGAACTTTGAACCGTGGTCAACTACATGGGAGTCCAGTGACATAGCCATTACACTAACTGCTGGTCCCTGAAACATTTGTTTTAAAGTTTCTAGCCTCCTGCAAGGCTGAGGAGAGCACAGAAAGGCTGGATAGGGCAAGAGTTTCACCAGCAAGGACCTGGCACCAGGTCAAATAGCATCATGACATTATTTGAGGCAAATCAATCTTTCTCGGTCTGTCTTTCTCGAAATTACATTAAGGAAGCTTCTATGTAATGGAATGATTTGGACAATGGATAGTTTTAAAAATTAATGCCAGTCTCATCATTGTCAATCATTAGATACAGGAGCACAATGCAAAGTATTTCTTGGCCCATCTACTTGATGGGAATGTTGGTTGATTTTTGAAACTAAATGACTAGTCTAGTTTTCCAAATATATTTAAAGAAGAAGATTGCATAGTTTTGGTTTGTAAGAGATATACAAGAGGACTTTTAAGTGTGTGGAAAATAGATTTCAAGTATGAGTTTGTTTTGAGGTAAAAACTTGGAGTCCATGCATAGTTTTTTCATAATATGTATTTTCTCTGAACTTTCTGAAAACTTCTCATATATATAAAATTTTCTACTAGATAGGTAACCATTTCTTAAAAGTGATTTTGCTTTTATAGAAAATATAAAAAGCATTTTCTCCAGAGTAACCATTAAATATAAAAGACTACTGATGTCAACCTCTTTTATTTTATCAGAAATGTGGCTTCTGAACTATAGTTTTTATTTTTTTTTCTTTCAGATCAGTGGTCTCTGTGGAGCTCTAATGTCTTTCTCTCTGCTCTGGTTTCACTAGAATGGTGTTCAGCAGAGAAGCCATCAGGAGACTTCTCTCCAGTAAGTGTCGATGCTACAGCAATGATGCCCCCGATGATATGGTCCTGGGCATGTGCTTTAGTGGGTTGGGAATCCCTGTGATCCACAGCCCTCTCTTCCATCAGGTGAGATAATGGTTTTTATTCCTACCCCAAGGGGAGAAAGGGAAATTTTTTTCTCATTTAAGGATTCTGTTTCTCTTTGCATATCCTGGAAACAGTCTTAAGAACTGGGTTGACAGGCTCTGGGGAACATCCTTAACAGACCTTGTATCCTCTTTGACATACATGCCAAGCCATGCACAGAATGAAGATGGAAGGGAAAACATCTAGAAAACTAAATGGGGTCTGACCAGTATCCTTACATGTAGGCTAGGGAAAGGCTGCTCTTTATTTTTTTCTTTTCAGTTAAAAAATAATTTTTTTAAATGTTAAGGCTGGCAGGCAGTGTAATGGTTAAGGTGTCAGACTCCCACATGGCCGACCATGGTTCAAGTCCTGGGCTTGGCAACTTGCGTTTGCTCTCCCCCCCACCTCCCTATTGCTCTGTAGTCAAATTGAAAAAAAAAATGATGATGAATAAAATTAAATAATTCTTTAAAAATTGATGACATTTAAAAAGTATTCAGTGCTGTATAGAAACATACAAGAGTGACCTATATTGTCTTACTGTTCACTGAGCATGTGTTATTCCACACAAATCTCAGTTTTGACAGTGTTCCCGTGGCTGTCTTTTTGTGGGCAAAAACCTCTTTAAAAAAATAATAAAAGAATGAGGCCAATGAATGCTCTATTCTAAGAACAATAGTATGTATATATATATATGAACTAAAAAATAGCCATAGACCCATCCATTGTTCTTTTTCAAGAAAGTCAAAGCTTTTTGAAGATGGAAATGTCTAAATGCCTGTGAATTTTAATTGTCTTCCCTTATATTGAAAAATATATAAAATATAGTCTTCATGCTCTATTTAGTAACAGTTGAAAATGTTATCATAGCAATGTAGGAAAATGAGCATGACAGAAATAACACTAAGGAAAACAATTTGAATGAGTTAAAGAAAATGCATTATTGAGAAATGCAGCATCTATTTTTGCATTCATGAGATCCAAGGGAGGATAAAAATAGACCTTTAATAAAAAGAAATCATTAGATATTTTCCTGGTACTAGCCATAAGACACTTACCTATCCTTTAAAACCTTGAGAGGGCTTAGCCATTTTAAGCCTGTGTCATGTTAGGTTAACCTAGAAAAATATATAATTCTCTGTGGCTACCTCTTTTGCCCTATCTCATGATATTTTACTCATGGAAAAGGAAGTGTAATTAAAACTGTTGGAATGTAAGGGAAATCAAGACTGGTGTGACAGGTCTTAGATTTTTATAGCATCTCTTTTCTCTGAGGGAAGAATACATTAGTAAATAAAATGGAAAGGAGAAAAGAAAACAGGAAAATAATCGAACCCTTAAGCAAAAGTCTTTTGAAGATAATTTAAAAATTACACAAAGAAGTTTGTTTCTCATACTTTAAACTCTTATTTTTCTAATTCACATAATAAATTTTAAACTTTTCCAAAGTCATAAACTGTATTTAAAACCTATCCTCCCCAATAGGTAATGCTGTATCTTCCAATTCTTAAGCCTTTTTTAGAGAATTGGATATGATTTGCCATTTTAAATGTTTGCAAACTCATCTAAACAATATATTTGTTCATAATAACAAAGAAATGTAATGCAGAGACATAAAACTGCAAATTCCTGATGAGTTAGAGATGGAATAGGCATTTGGAAATAGTCTCAAATGCAAAGTTGTCTGGGTCACAATCCTTTGTTTTTGCTCAGGGAAGGTTATTGTGAAATCATAGATTTATAAGGGGACTCCAGGGAATGTCTAGTACTCCCTTTTGTTAAAAGAAAGCATCCAGAAAATGTGATTTTTTTGTTCTTTCTAAATCATGTGCCACTAATGAGTACAACAGTGTGCAATGGATGGTGACCAGTATCCTTACATATAGACTAGGGAAAGGAAACTCTGCACAAAATGCAAGTTATCAACCTGGACTAAACTGGCAACGTAACCATTTCAGGACTCTGAAAACAAAAGAGTTAACAAATTGACAAATATTTATTCCAGAGAAACTGCTACAGTTTTAGGTAAGAACAACAGAACCTGAGGCTCTCTCTGAGTAGAGAGATATATTCATATTCATGAATTAGAAGACTGAAGATTGCTATGATGGTAACTTTCCTGTTGATTTTTTTAATATTCATTTTTAATGAATTTATTAATTCAGGTAAAAGTAACTTTATTCAATAATAAGCCAATCTGTTCCCTCATTCCTCCTCATTTGGCCTAGTTTTTGTCTTTAGGACAATGTCGTGAGAGCCAGATCTATTGTACTACACAAGGGGCCAGATACCCTGTAAGTGAGGAGCAAAAAAAAAAAGAAAGAAAGAAAGAAAGAAAATTTTTATCTGCTTGAAAAACTCTTAAAAATCTGCTTTTAAAAAAATCCTAAAATTTGGGGCTAGCTGGTGGCATGGTGGCTAAGGTGCTGCTGCATTCCCATATGGCCAACCACAGTTCACGTCTAGGACCTGGTAACTTGAAAATCAGTCTTGGTGCATGTGCGTTTGTGTTCAAAATCCCAGGAAGAGAATGGAAAAAGGATTGTAGTATGGCCATCTCCCATGGACGTGTTGGGGGTGGGGAGGTGGGGGTGATTCTTTACTCTCCTTCTCTCTGTCTCTGTCTCTTTCTGGTGAGAGCACCGGGCCCTATGGCAACCCTCCCAAAAATCCTAAAATTTATGCAGAGATATAAAATGATTTTTTAAAAGGAGATCAAAATCAGAGGATTTATACTACCTGATTTTAGGACTTCATGAAAAACTGCAATAATCAGGAGAATGTGAAATTAGTGTAACGATAAACAAATTTATCAATGTAACAGGATAGAGATCCTACAAACAAACCCTCTCATTTTATAGTAAACTGATTTTTAATAAAGCTGCCAAGACAATTTAGTGAGGGAAATAGAACAATTGGTGCTGGAACAATTGTATATCCAAGAAAAAAAAATGAACTCAGAACCTTACCTTTTACTGCATGTGCATACGCATGTGCACACACACACACATACATAAACCCTTAAAATAGATCATATTCAGACTATAATAGTTTAAAGTATAAAGTTCTGAAAGAAAATTCAAGGGTAATTTTTTGTCACCTTAGTTTAAGAGATATTGTTTATGGCATCAAAGGTGTTATCCATAAAAGGGAAAAATTCTTCTATTGAACTTTATGAAAGCTTTTAAACTTGTGCTCTTTAAAAGGAAAATAATGAAAAAACAAGTAACAGATTAGGAGGAAATATTTGCACATCAGATATTGATAAAGGATTTGTGTCCCGAATATGTGTTGTCCTTTTATAACCCAACAATATGAGAATAAGCCACTGAGTTCGAAATGACCGAAAGATTCCAATAGACATTATACTACAGAAGATATGTGGATGGTTAATAAGTATATGAAAAGATGCTCAACTTTAGGAAATATAGTCTTTAAGGAAATGTAAACTAAAAGCACTATGAGATACTATTATATACCTTCTGAAAGGCAAAAGGACAGACCTTGGAAGTGTTGTGAAAAAAAAAAAAAAAAAAACAAAGCTGGATCCTTCATATGTTGGTGGTGGCCATATAAATTATAGACAGTCCCAACTTAAAGTGGTTTGACTTAGGCTATTTTCAACTTTTGATGGGTTTATTAGGGTGTAACCTCACCATTAAGTCAAGCAATGTCTGTATAGTCACTTTGGAAACATCTGTACAGTTTCTTAAGGAAATATAGTGCACAATTTCTGCCATGGATCTTAGAGATCTCTACCTGCTGTCATTCACTCCCTTATGTACCTCCTTTTTCTGGAGCATGGGTGGAACCCAATAACTTCCTTCTAACTATTGATAGTAGAATATGGCAAATGTGATGGTATGTTTTTTATATTTACAATTAGGTTATAATGGTTTATGACTTCCATATTCCTGGCTTGATGCTTCTTGAGGCAAGCTGCAAGGTGGGGAGGGGGCCACATAATAAGGAACTGGGGGTGGCCTCTGACCAAGAGCCAGCATGAAACAGAAGCCTTTAGGGTAACTACCTGCAAGGAACCAAATAATATCAGCAGCCACGGAATGAGGTTAGAAATAGATCTTTTCCCAGTTGGATCTTCAGATGAAACCACAGACCCTGGGCTAACATTTCAGTTACAATCTGGTGAGAGACTATGAAGCAGAGCATCCAACTAAGGTAGACTCAGACTCCTGGCCCACAAAAGCTGTGATCATAAATGTGTGTTAAGTCACTAAGGTTTTTGGGTAATAAATTTCACCTCAATAGTAACTAATACATTACCCTTATGCCCTGCCAGTTCCCTTCCTAAGCATCTGCTAGAAAGAAGTGAAAACTGTTTTTTTTATACCACACACATACACACACACACACACATATGTATACATATATACATACACAGAAACTTGGATGTGAATGTTCATGATAGTCCCAAAGTGGAGACAATCCAAGTGTCCATCAACTAGTTATTAGATAAACAAAATGTATAGCCATGCAGTGCAACAGAAGTCAGTATAAAGAATGAAATAGTGGGAACCAGCAGTTTGCGTAATGGCTATGTCGCTAGACTCCCACGTAGTCGACCGTGGTTCACGTCCCGGACCCGGTGGCTTAAAACTCACGCCAGGCGTGTGTGCGTACATGCCCAAGATCCCGAGAGGAGAATGGAGGAGAAGGGATTGCAGTGTGACCATCCCCCCTGAGGGGTGATTTCTCGCTTTCTGTCTCTATGTCTGTTTGTCTGGCGAGCACAAGCTCCCTATAGCGAAAATCTCTCCAAAAAAAAAAAAAAAGAATGAAATAGTAATATATGCAGCAGTGGTAAGTAAAGGGTAAAGGTAGTTTTACAAAATATTTGTTTTGTATGATTTCAGCCTTAAGACATTGGGAGAACAGGCAGCAATACAGAGACAAAATCAGTGTATTTTCTGAAGTTACTGTTGGGGTTGGCGATTAACTGCAAACACATGCAAGGAAATTTTGTGGGGAATGACTGTAATGTTCTAAAACTAGATTTGTGATTGCCCAACTCTAGAAATTTACTAAAAATTTTTAGACTACCATTACTGTGGATGAACAGTAATGGTATTTAAGTAATTCCTCAATACAGCTGTAACAAAAAATGTGTATGTCTAAGAAAATATAATTCGTAATCTACATTTTTTGTCCCATTCAGTGTGCTATAATTTTTGCAGATAAGAAGGTTTCAGTTTTGCCCAATTCGTTTGTCTCAGACATTTTAAGCCTTCTCTTTTCCTGTACACAGCTGCCCGTTGCATCCTATGTGTGTTCCTGAGATCCTTCCTGAACCCCGACCCTGTCTATTGGGAATTTTCTTTTGGCATTTTGGGTACAGATAAATGATTAATAGAGGCCATCTAGACTTGTCAGTGTTACAGATGCCTCTGTTAGATTTATTTCTCTTTTCTAATTTTGTCTTTTTTTTTTCCTATGACCTCTTTTATCTAAAATTAAGAGCACTTTCTAATGCTGAATAAGCCAGCTCTTCACTTGAATGTATGGACTCCCTGGGTTGTAGTTAATCACTTCTGGAATCTGCATTAATAGAGGCAAATATGTTAAGGTCTTATATTATCCTATTAGATGCATTTGTAAAAGGCAATAAAGTAGCCACTGGGAAAGTTCTCCCTCTGCAGTATTTGAACCTTACCTCACAGATGCTATTCAGACACTCAGCTGAGCAAGTCTTCATGCCACCACCGGATAAAGCCTCCCAACAAAACTAAGGACAGTCAAGGTGTATTGAGTGTGCTAAGCTGTGATCTGGTGACCCAAGGACAGGCAGCGGAGTCCTAGTGAAACACTGGACAGTTAGCTGAGTATCTCTCTCTTGTCCCCATTCCAATGTTTGCTAGTCCTGTAACTTCTGTGAGCTCTGGTTTCCTTGTCTGTACATTAGGAACGAATCATAGTACTCTGTTTTACAAGGTTGTTACAAGGAATGTAATGGCATACAGTTTAACAAAAATGTACATGGAATTAGATTCAGTTTAATAAAGGTAAATCATTTAAGAGAATTTAAGTATTCATATCAAAAATTTAAACAGAAGATAATGAAATATTTGACTAGAGAAGACTTATTCCTAGTTTTAATAAAGTCAAGACAATTTTAGTGTGGATAACCTAATGAGTTATTGTATGAAGCAGTGGGGTCATACGAATATATAAACAAATTAAGATGAACATTGAGAAAAGAGGATATTTTACTTAGAGCGAACAGTTTAATATCTGGTTTCTATTTCCTTCTAGCCCTTTAGATTAATTCTTTGGTCTCATCATTCTAAGCTATATCTAATTCTGCTTAAATTTCATGTCCTACTTTCTAGAGAAGTTTAAAATGATATACAGAATTTTGTAGGCCCTCTTGTGAACCATTTTGATTACTTAGAATTCCCATGTACACTTCCGGAACCAGACTGGTCACTTAGGTGAAGGAGTGTAAGTTGCTTTACTCTTCTCTCCAGTGAGCTCCATATTTTCTTTCTTTGAAAGATACCACTTAATTCCCTGTTAGAATAGTAGACAGGCCAATGGAAACCTAGGAACTCCTTGCCCTGTTCCCTACGTAACCCATGTATGATCAGCCTTTCTTTAGAAGAACCTGGGAAATATTTTTTCTGCCTTTTTCCCAGACATCAGATAATAGCTTAAATGGCTTATCAGGGAAAGCTTTCTGTACTTATTACCATGGTTAAGGAATCATTTAGAGGCAAGACTCTGAAACACCGAAGCAAAAAACAATGCATTTGGGATATTAGTGTAATTGGAGACACAAAATCAAAGAGCCTGGAATCAGAGGGAAGAGAGTAGGCAAGATCATTCCTTCTTGTTCTTAGCTTCCCATGAGTCACATCGAATACCAAAGCAAAGTACTTGCTTCATAAATTCAAATGCTATTCTGAAGCAAAATTATTTTTAGTCAATAAGAGAGTACAGTTCTCTGCTTTTCTTCCTGCAGGCTCGGCCAGTGGATTACCCTAAGGACTACCTTTCTCATCAGGTTCCCATATCATTCCACAAACACTGGAATATCGATCCAGTGAAGGTGTATTTCACATGGTTGGAGCCCAGGGAGGAAGACAGAGCTGGGCAGCAGATACAAAAAGGTTTTAGAGAAGACTTATAAAGCCTAGTGGCCTGGGAGCATCTTTTGTATAGGAACAAGAAAGATTGTGGCACTCTCCCGCCGTGCTATGCCCACACTGCTCGTGCATGCCACATGCTGTCGGACGCTTCCTGACTTTAGGTGGAACTTATGTTTATGGTATTTTTTGACATTGGAAGAAAAGAAGTCAGAGGGGAAATTTATTTTTCAGGAAAAAAACACTTGCTTTTGACTTAGGCAGTTATTCTAACACATGGTGATTACTATGTATTTTTTAAGCTGTGAGACAACAGTTTTATTACTGTCACAGGAAAATAAGTGGTACCAGAAGTCCCTTTCCTGTTCCCTCTCTTCATTTTAATGCAAGTTTCCAGTGGATATGAGACTAGAGAAATGGGACTGTTATTTCATCCATATATATATATGAATGAATGAAAGTTTTGACATGAATATTGCTAGTGGTATGAACTTTTAAACTGTATTATTGGCGATGAAAATTATTTACTGGGAACTCAGTGAGAACAATGCTGTATTAAGGATCATTCATAAAATGTCATAAAAGTCTAGATATGAAATCTCCTGTAGTCTGTAATCATGGTCGTTATGTTTTATCTATTGTTTTGCTGTATGTGCCTCATAAAAAGAGAATAAGAGGTCTGCAAGAGCCTCCTATTTCTTTAGAAGTTCATCTGTGTTCTGTGTCTCCCAGAAGCCCTATCTTTATGACCTCTTTGTAACTGGAAAATGTACTGGATGCTGTTAGGAAATAGTGTCCTCAGTATTTAAAGGCAACGTTAATGTGTTTCATTCAAGTCAGCAAGTTCTAGGCCAGTCTCAGGAAGTGGATTAAATTTGAACCTGATGTTTTGCTCTTTTTTTTTTTTTTTTTAATCTCACTTAATGACTTTATTCTGACTTAGAGTAACACCATTTCCCCAAACCCCAATGCTTTATAAAACCCCCATAGAAAGCATGCTGATTCGGCAGTTTTTCTGGGTTCTTAAAGAATGAAATTTGAACATAGTATTTTGAAACAGCTCTAGTTTTCAAATCATATATTTAATATATAGTAATTTAACATGTTCATTATTAATGTATAAAAAGCATTTTGTGTTTTAATGTCTTTAATTATATAGTTCAGTTTTATAAAGGTTTTGCATAAAATTTGATTTTAATGTTTTAAACTAATTTTGGTATAGTAAAATATTTTTCTCCTTTTCTTTCATTCTTTTTTTAAAATAAAAACTGTTATTCATTAACTTTGCTCATAATGCTTTTTATATTATAGCTAAGTACAGGGTTATAAAGCCATACCACCAAAAGTACCTGTGTTTGTGTGTGTGTGGGGGGTCTCTCCTTTTTTTTTTTTTAAAAAAAAAAAAACAGATTGGATGCATTCCCAAAATGATCCAATAGTATTTACTGTTTTTCCAAATTAGTAAACAGTATCAAGAGCAGAGTGTTGCAGTGAAAATATAAGGTATTGGATTCAATTTGTAAAAATGGATTTTGTAGCCCATCTGGGGAATGTATCAGGTACGATCAGCTGGTCATGTGAGTCAGAAGGATTTTAGATCCCATCAAGCTGGTACAAATGACAACATCATCATTGCTGGGATCAGTACCATGTTACCATAGTAGTCACCTTCAGGTCATCTATAATAAACTCTTAAGGGCCCTGGCTGCCCACACCAGTGGAGAGTCCTCAGTTCTTTCTATTCCTGGCTACTAATTGTCACCACTCAGAGAACAGCGTATTCATTTGATGGGATGGACCTGCCATCTGTATACGAAGATTCATGTCAAGCTTTCTTCTGTGTTAAGATCAGTGCCTTCTACTGACGCCAGAGCACCTCCTCTGGTACTTTTATGTGTTCTGTTAATTGTCTTTACTTTTTACAACTATGTAAGTCTAATCACAAATAAATGATCTTTGGATAAGTTTCTGAATTCTCAAATGGTGTATTCATTAGTCCGGAGTAGAGTGGGAGTGAGAAGGGTTATGGGGGAAAGGAATTAATGAAATCAGAGAAAGAATTTGGTAGCTCAGAAAATAGTTTGAAAAGAAAATGATTGATTAAAGGTTATCTTTCTAAGAGAAAACCATTTAGAAGTTGAAAATACATTTATACAAATTCTGAAGAGCCATTATACATTTTTTAGAAGTCTATTAATTTATGTCTTCCATGAAGCAGGGGGCAGAGAGACAGGCATACCCACCAGGGTCTTCATGCTGCTTTTCACTCCCAGTCTCAGTTGACCCAGGCCGGAGGCACATGCCCAGACTGTTCCTAGGACATGAAGATGGGACCCTCGCCATGTGGGTTCAGTTACAGTACCACCATTCCACCCACTGGCCCACATTAGGTTTTATTATACACCAAGTCATAGATGTTATTTTAGAATGGATTCCCATAGAATTTATATCTTTTTTTTTTTCTAATTTCCCAGAGAGCATCTGTGCTCACCAGATAGAGGCAGAGAAATTGAGAGGGAGAAAGTACTCCCCAATGGGGCATGCACACATTGCAATCCCTTCTCCCATCATCCTATTGGGACTGGAGCACACATACCCTAACATGTTTTTCAAACCACTGGGACTGAGATTTGAACCACAGTCAGCCATCTGGGATCTGGCTCCCTTAAACGCTAGTCTACAGAGCTGGTTCTCCCATATAACTTATATTTAAAGAACTCAATTTTGAGTACTAACTTTCCAGTATAGATAATGCCCTATTTATGTTTCTTGGCTTTTACATAGAGATTTCCGTCCAAATAGTTGTTTTTATCCAAAGGATAGTAACATCAAGAATTAATATGTAGAATAATTGGAACATTATTTTCTTACCTTTAAGCCATTTCTGATGATGTAGACAAAGCAAGTTGTCGGACTATGTAGAATTTTTGTGAGGTGTAGCTAAATCCAAAATGCAAACACAACAATAACCTCTGTAGAGTGCTTGGGAACATAAAACAATAGCATGCTAAGCAACAAGTGATGCTGTGATATTTACAGGGATTTCTCAATTTATTAAGTTGTATTTCTATGGGATAAATGAGTCAATGGGTAGATTCATTCAGCACCTGTTTATTAAACACCATTATGCACAAGACATTCAAGGATGCCCTGCCTAACCTATTCAGGGCACTATCCCTGCCATCTCAGAATGCCTGGCACATATTAGGTGCTAGTGGTTTTGTATTTCCATGTATTTTATAAATATGTCATCTGTAAAATATTTTCCTTTTATCTATTGATTAAAAGGAAGCCTTTTTTTTCTGGTGCTTATTTAGCTCATGCTTTCACTTTAAAGACATTGATAGTTTTAGAGGGGGTAGGAGAAGGGACATACATCAGTAAATACTAGGTTATCAGGAAAGTTGTGACGTTTTTCTGTTTTTCTGTGCAAAAATGCCCCATGACTTTCTGGACAATCCAATATATTAATGAACAAGGTGGTTTCTAATACTATAAAGATACAAAGAACAGGAAAACTTGGATACTTTTTGCCTAGATAATCTTCCTGACCCTGGCTCACATAAATTCCTTTACTTACTTTGCCTCAAAATCATGTGTGGCCACATTGACTTCTCTTCTGTGTGTCAGATCTCCCTCTAACTCCCTTACATAAGCATATACATGATTGCATTTAGAGTTCTCCTGGATAATCCCCCAACTCTAGACTTGAATTTAATCACATCCACAAAATCCCTCCCCCTCGTTGACATATAGCTTAATGTTTACCTGTTCCACGGGTTAAAATGTGAATTGGTCAAGGTGGGAGATGGGGGAGGTAAGCAGTATTCAGTCTATGCAGGGCACTCTCCAAGCAAGTGAGAATACTGGGGGATTCTAAGAATGACATGTCTGTTCATTCGTTCACTTGACAAATAATGTTTTGAGCAACTCCATTGTGCTAAGTTTATGCTAGATGCTGCAAGGCACTGGTTACTAAGTAGTGTCACCTAGATCATCCCACATAAAAACAAATCTCCCTCCCCCCCCCACAAATTTAAAAAAAATACTTAAGCAGAGAAGAAATTAAGATAAACACCTGCCTTATGGAATTCTGGGCTTCTTTGCACACCAGTCTACTAGACACTTTCAGGATTCCCAAAGAGATTTCACATGAATTTACCTTCCTGTTTTATGCTTACTCTGGGTTTCTCCTAATTCCACACCTGATCTGAAAATTATTCTGCTGCTTCATATTGAGATGGAATGAGCACTGGATTAAAAGGTTCTAGTGCAATCTTGGGCGACTCACATTGTGTCTGTAGGTTTCAGTTCTGTAGTCAAAGAAATCAGTTTGAATTTTAAAGTGTCATAATTCTGTTTAAGTATAGGATCTGCATTACATTACTAAGTATTCCTTGTAGGTTCTGTTTCCACATCTGTTTTCCCTCACGAAAAGACCTTATTTCAAAACGTCAAGGCTCTCTAATTACAATGAATTATCTGCTCTATAAATTTGGAATATTTTGTCATATTGAGTTTATCAGTTTGACATATTTGACTTTCATCATGGATTCATAAACAGGAAAACTCTGTAATAAGACAGTTTTAAGACAACATTTTTTATGGATGCAAAAGTTAACTTTGGCTCACTCAATAAATATCTATTGTTTATGATGTTCCAGGTTCTGGAGATTCGCTGGTAAGCAAAAGCAGACAAATTCTGTTCTTTGTTGAATTTATAATATGGAGCACAGATAGTAATAAAAAAAACCTACTAAAATATATAAATATAAACTTTGATGAATGCTGAGAGGGAGTTGGATTTGAGAATTTAAAAAAGGACTGCTAACTAGCGAAGGTGTCAGAGGGAGCATTCCAGGAAGAAGAAGCAACATGAGCAAAGGCCCTGCAGTGGAGGAATTATAGATTCTTTGATAAAAACACCAGTGTGGCCAGAACACTCTCAGGTCCCCTTTACATGTCCTTTTTAACTTGCTTTCTTCATTTCATAATACATGTTGTTAAATATTAAGCAACAAAATCCTCAGACAGTATTTCTTCATTCATTTGAACCATAATTTATCTAAGGTATTCTCTAGTACTGGTTATTTTGGTTATTTGCTGTTTTCACGCTTTTAATTAAATTTTGTAAGAGCTTAGATTATAGCAAGAGAAGTAGGATGATTTAGCTAAGATTAGACATTAGGCAATAGTTTTGAGTTACATTAATTCTGTTAGTCATATCAGGTGGGTGGACTGCAGAAGCTTAACTTTTTTTCTTATTGAACATGTTAGTTGAAGAACATGAAAATAATACAAAGCATCTGAAATCTAGCTCCTGGAAATGAATACATCTTCCATTTCCTAACATACTCCCTCTCATTTTCCTCTCTCCTCCTCCTTGCCTCCTTCCCTCGTCCTATTATTTATACACACACGGAGTACAGCTACGTGCATTCTAATATGTAAATCTTGATACATGTTCAAGATGATTTCTTTAGGCTAAATTCCTACTTGTGAAATATTAGATGCAATGATAATTTTTCTTTCAGGGTCTCACTATATTATAATCTTCCTGTTTCAGCCTCCGGAGTAGCTGCTGTCCGTGGAGCCCCTTCAAAGCTGCTGTCCACTCTTACGGCTGTAGTCTCCTTTGCATGCAGGCTTTGTCTTCCATCTGTTCTGCCTGTTCAAGGGCCTGGCCAGCACCCTGCACAAGCTGTAGGCTTGCCAGATTATTTTATATATGACATTTTTCCTTTAGTCTTTACTCACTTAATACTTGGGTTATCAGGAAGTGTTTAAAAAAAAAAAAAAGAATTACGTCTTCAATCTCTTGGCAAGTCTATCCTGCCTTGGATTAAACAAGATCTGTGCATGTTCATCATTACCATTGTTTCTCGTGTTTTTCCAGCTCACAGAACAGTGCTTGTCTTTATTATACGTTCTATCTTTACGTTATCTTTTTGTATTTTCATTTTGCTTTACACTGCTACAAGCAACCACATACCCCCTTCTATATCTTGCTTTCAAATTACACTTGCCATATCTTCATCCTCTTAGATTCAGCATTCCACAAAGCCTTAGGACAGGGATACATGCAGCCAAATCCCTCACAATGGTATAACACAGATGACCTGTTCTCCGATTTCCAGTAAGATATTCTTTATTTTCATCTGAACTTTTATCAGAAGGAGTTTTACTGTCCACATTTCTATCAGCAGTCGGTCATAGCCATCTAACCAATATCAGAGAGGTTCCAAACTTTCTTCAATCCTCTCATCTTACTCTCCACCAGAATGGCCATTAATGCATGCTAAGCTTTTTCTATTCTGTTCCCACAAACTCTTCCAATCTCTGCCCAACATCCAGTTCCAAAGTTACTTTCATCTTTTTTTTTTTTTTGAGAGGATTTTGCTATAGGGCGCGGCGCGTGCGCTCACCAGACAGAGACAGAGAGACAGAAACCAAGAAATCACCCCCCCCAGGGGGGATGGCCACGCTGCAATACCTTCTCCTCCATTCTCCTCTCGGGATCTTGGGCTCACACGCACATGCGCCTGGTGTGAGTTTTAAGCCACCGGGTCCGGGACACGAACTGTGGTCAACTACATGGGAGTCCAGTGACATAGCTATTATGCTAACTGCTGGTCCTCAAAGTTACTTTCACATTTTCGGGTATTCGTCATAAGGTACCAATTTTATGTGTTAATCTTTTTGGTTGCTAGTAACAGAAGATACCCGAGTCTCAGTAATTTATAAAAATAGAAGTTTATTTATCCGTGGTTTGGAGGCTCAAGTTCCAGAAGCTGCATCTGGTGGGGACCTTCTGGCTGCATAACAACATGATGAAGAGCAGGACCACCTGTGTCTGTGTATCTCTTTTCCGTTCTTAGTCCCTCTCCTTCTAAACCTGCCAGGAATCAATCACAAAGTCCCCAACCAATGACCTTAATCCTGATCTCTTCATAAAGGCCTCACCTTTCAA